AGCACAGCTCCCGTTCCTGCCTGACTCAAAATAACTTCCTTGATACACATTTTGTTAGCACTGGCAACTCTTTCCAGCGCCGCAGCTCTGCAGAGCAGGAGGCCGGGGACAGCGGGGCTGTCACAGCCGCTTGTGTCCCCGGCATGGATGGGGCATCCTGGCACACATCCACCCCCCCAGGTCGGGGAACATTAATCTTCTTACCCCTTGAGCCATCCGCTTCTGTTGGGGACAGAGGGAGAGCAGAAGCAAAGGGTTGAAGGCTTCAGAGGGGGCTTCTCCATCAACCCCCCAGCCCGAGACAGCCTGACAGAGCAGCAATTTTCCCTCTAATCAGGTGTAAAGTCAGAAAGTTCAATCCCTGCCTCAGCCACTGCTGGGCATAAGGAACTCTCAGGAAATCAATACTTCAAAGGTGCCTCGTGCGTCTTTATGGGAAGCTGCTACATTCCCCATCTTTGGTTCACCAGCCCTGAGCTAGAGGCGAGTGGGATGTGAAGCATGGGGTGAAGAAAAGAGCTTGTGCTTGCAGCTAAGAGGGGGTCACCTTGTCGGCACGTCCTTTCCCCACCAAAACCACCCCAAACACACGATCTCTTCCAGATGGGCTAGGCATGGCCACTGGCCAGAGGAGCTGCCGGTGCAGCGGAGCCATCCAGGGACCGCAGCCCAGTGTCTCACTCGAAGCGCTTTGCGCAAAGCAGCTGCTTGCTCTGGGTGTGACCTCTCGGAGATAGAGGAAGCCTCTGTATTTTGTGCTGTGCTTTCATTTAGCTTCCCAAAGCCATTTCTGCCTCTGGAAGAAACCCAGGCCCCATGCAGTGCTGCGGAGGCTGGTTAGGCACCAACCGAGGCTGGGTGAGGAGCTGCGAAATGCCGAGCGCCAGGTTAGCAGGAGGATACCCCCAGAGCAAGGCGTGATGCTCCAGGAGCCAACTGGGACGCAGGGGCAGGGACTCAGTTAGCAGCAGCAGCTAAAGCCCTGCAATGCCAATCACTTTCCACATCACTCAGGCAGGGGTTGGTTTGCAGCGCAGGTGGAGAAGCTGCCGGCCGGGCTGTGCACGGGCAGGCCAGCCAGCGCTGCTGCTCCCGGGCACCAGCTTCGCTGAGTTGATCCCTGCGTGTCCGGGGGTATGTCCGGGGGCGACAGCAGAGAAATGCAAACGGAAGGGGACTGCAGACAGGTGCTCTCATTTATGGCCTGCCGTTGCCGTCGATTTAATACCTTGTTTGCCTTAAATCTTTCCTGACTTTGTAAAGTTGCTTTGAACAAGGCACTTGATCGTACCAGGTTTCATCCCACACCTATTTTATCTCCTTCCTTGGTGATATGGTGGCCACCATGCCAGGCTCAAGAAGCAAGATACGTATCAGAGAGGGAGCGTAAAGCCTGCTGGGGGGGTGAAAAGGACAGCAGGGAAAGCGCCCTGATGGCATCCACTGCCTGCCCAGACCTGCTGGGGCCTGATCCTGGGGCTCTGGGGGGGGTCAGGAAGGAAAGCGGGTTTAGCCAAGGGGGTAACGTGATGGGCATCACCCAGCAGCTAACGCTGCCCTGGCAAGGGGCCCAAATTAATTCAGAGGAACTGAGCTCTGGGAGCGCCTTTTTCTCCCATCTGGAATGACTTAATAGTCAGTAACTAGCTCACATGGAGAGCTCTGCATGAGGCGAACGAATCCCACCCTGCTTCCCATGGCTCTGGCCTGGGCTCTGCCGCAGCTGCCTGAGAGCCCAGGGACAGAAGCACCCTTGGAGGTGCACCTTGGAGGTCCCCAGGACTTGGGGACCATCCTGCTGCTGGAACAACTGTGCAGAAACATCCATCCCAGGACACATTCATGATCCCCCCCCCATCTGCTCACCTCTCCCAGAGCAGCTTCAGGCAGTGCTGTTTGGAAACAAGGCACATAGACAGAGCAACCACAGAGGCAGAGGGACGTAGGGACAAGGAGAGGGTCCCCCCGCCCCGCGGCTGCTCCGGGCTTGTAGAGTCTACAGCTCCTGTGCTACCCTCAGCTCAGAGCTCCCCTCCCGCCTCCCTGGTCTCCATCACTTCCAGCAGAAATGCTAATCAATGCATTTGCAAAACATGGAAATGACAGCTAATATCACTGATGAAAGTGCTCCTGGCTCTCCTATTTCGAGCGGAACTTGAAATGTGGTTAAAAACTCCCTCTACCGCCCTGAACATTATGAATTAATTCAACTGAACCGTAACAAATAAATATACCTCCCCCCCAAAAGGTCTTTCCTTTAGTGTAAAATAAGAGTTCAATTAATATTCATAACACATACGTTTAGCATTTAAATTCAACATCCCCATCAGTTACACCAAGCTCTCACTACACATCAATATCTTTAATTACTCTTCTCTCCAGCAAGTGCTGAACCTAAGTAGATGGAAATATTTCCCTTACAATTTATACTCTGCTTTATTATGATCTGAGGGGTTTTAAATGCAAAAGAAAAAGGAAAAAATAAAAAAAGGAGCTGGTTTGTTTATAGCTCCAGATCATTTCACTCAGTGGCTTACAGGGGCTTCTTGAGCGCAGCGTTCGTACCCCTTGCTCACCAGGGCAAGGAGTCAGGGCTGGCACCTGCCTCCCGGGCAGTGGTTTATCGGAGAGGCACTTGCTACCCCTGCAAGAATGCTTTTAGCCCCAATTCTTATCTCCTGCCGCTGCTCTCTCCTGCTCACCTGAGTGAGAGCTGGGCAGGAGACTCGAGGTCTGGCTACAGCAACCAGCAGCCCCCGGTGAAGAGCTTCTCCCCGGGGAACCTCCCAGGTCCGATTTCAAAGGGAATGGTGCAGCCCCAGGAAGGGAAGGAGAAGCGAAAGGGCATCTCACCTTACTGGCTCCGGGAAGCAAGTGCAATTTGACGTATGGATCGGCCAAACCGTTATGGTCCATTGGCTTCAGGCCCTGGAGAGGAAACAGCAAAAAGCAGGAGTTAGGAAAACAGCGAGAGGCTGGGCAGGCGGGGTGGCTTCGCTGAGCCCATCTACTGATGCCCGTTTCTCCGGGATGTCGTCGGTCCATGGAGCAATTGCACAGTTTCCTTAGGACTGGGGAAGGAGGAGAGTATGGTTGGTGCAGGATCCGGGCTGCGCAGCAAAAGCCGAGCACACTCAGCGTTCAAATGTCATCTGCAGTTTGTGCCGAGGAGGGGCTGCGGGAAGGCTTCTCATCCGCACTTGGCATCGGCCGCAAAGCACCTCTCCGCTATTCCAGCAGCTGACACTGACACCCTGATCACAATTAATTTGGGGGTTAAGTAAATCAGCGCAGTGATTTTCGAGGTTTAAAATTACAGGGTTTTGTCATTTAATAGTTGCTATGAGCAAACATACACCCCTGCCGTTGTGGTGTTACTTTTAAGCGTTCCCAGAGGGTGTGATAGCACCTACCTAGTCTTCATTATTAAGGCACGGCTGAAGGAAGAACAGCTTTCAGGCCAGTGGGAGGCTTTCGCCAGCCGACTGCCGTGGCGTTTGCAGAGAAATCTGCGGGTACCTGAGCACAAATGCAAGGAAACACTCGCTGCAGCCATTCCTGATGGATTTTCTACTAGACCCTCACAGCTCTTAAAGGATGACATGGATCGTGTTTGTTATAGAGATGCTCTGGAGTTGATCCTGCTTCAGGCAGAGGGAGGAGACAAACCTGCTCTTCTAAACAAGCAGTGGGCTGAAAATCATCCAAGGGTGATGCACAAACCCAGCCCAAACCCATAACTGCACAGACCGCATGGCAACAAACTCCACAGGGCAGGGAAGCAACACAGGAGCATGAAAAACGGAGCCTAATTTTTCCCAATCCTTAGTGGAAATGATAATGGCTACACCATGAAAGTACTTGGATTATTTCCAGCCCGGCTGCAGGATCCCTGCAGGAGTTATTTCTAGGCTGTCTGAAGGCAATCCTCTGCCTGGGTCAGAAGATGGTTTCTCTGCAGAGGTACCCATCCAACCCCAATTCCAACCCGGGCATGGAAACCAGGCTGGGTGATGCTAAAGGCTCGTCACGCCCTTTGTGGGATGAGCAGAGTATTCAGTGCCCGGGATTAATGAGTGTGTGCAGCTGCCAGAGATCCACCTGGCAGGAAAGCATTCGTATGGGCTGCTGGTGGAAAGGCTGCGTGCGATGAAAATGTAATCATCAAGGCCTGGTTTGGGCAAATCAAAGAGGGAAATGCTGGGGTAAATCACTTCCATACTTCACATGTATGAAATAACGCACCCAGCTTAGCCCACGGTACCAAGGCAGCCCTTTGGGACGCCCCTGTCCCACCCCTCCCTGATTTGCACAACCCGGTTGAGGGTCTGAGCTGCTCCAGACTTTGGTGAGGGCTCTGCTTCGGAGACGAGCGCGCTGCCCTGGGGCAAGGGAGACCAAATGGTGCCCAGCAAAGAGGATTTTGCTTCTAAAGCAGAGCCAAAAGGATAAAAATATCAGCAGCAAATGGAGGCTAAATGGTTCTGCTTTAATTGCAGTGCCTCTCAGGTGACGTCCCCGGCCCAGCAGAAAAGGAAGGCAGCAGATACAGAGGACGGGAGGAAGGTGGTGGTGTTGGCTGCAGCTCCATGGCCAGAAAGGGCAGCAAGGGGCTGGGCTGGTCCCCAGGCTCCGGAGGGGATCCAGCCGCCTGGGCACACGAACTGCTCACAGCTGAGCAAAGCAAAGGGTCTCCACAGCCTCCCGTGGCGGAGGTGCTCCACCTGCCTGATGCCGCGCGGCAAATGAAATCAGAAGCAAGCAAGCAAATTCCCCTGAAAATGGATGGAGAAAGACAGGCAGCACTGTAATTCACCCATCAATTCAGTTCAATTAAATTACCTTCTGAGGAGGCTATTAAAGGCTTTTTAAACAGATGTGCTATGGAAGACGGAGTGACAGGAGCCTGGAAAAATGGCTCCTAATGTCACGTCTACCTCCCTCCCATGTCACTCGATACAAGTTTGGCACAGGGCTGAGTTTAAAATGACAGCAACCCTGATGGCTCTGCCCCGCAAAGCTGCTCCCATGGGAGCTCACCCCTCCCAGGGACCCAGAGGGTGACCGGCACCGTTGCTTCCCCTGCGTGGACGGACTTCTAGCCTAAAGCTGCTCCAAGAGAGCCAAGAGGCAGAGGAGGACCACAGGGCTCGTTCACGGGGGCAGTCTCCCATTGGCTTCAGCCAGCGCAGCCCCGGCTCCGATCAGTCCTCTTGCCAGGACCAATTTACAGTGCTGTGCATCACGGCATGGGCGATGGAGCCGAGACCGAGTTTCATCTTTTCCCTTCCTCTACTCAACCCAAAAATCCCTGCTGTAATCCTATGAAGACCGATGGCCCCACTGCATCCCAGCCGCTGCCAGCTGGTCTCTGTGCCAGTGACATTTAGCTAATCAATAGGATTTAATTACGAGTCAGGCTAATCGGGCTGCCAATTAACGCCACGCTAGAGGCATACAGAAATCACAGGAGACAGATTGGTTCCATCATTTGCTCCATGGCGAGCTGCCTGCCTGGTGAGCGGGCTTCCTGCTGCCCAAAAACCAGCCTGGATACCTCTTGCTGGGCCAAGGCGTCCCATTCCGAAATGGGGCAAACTCTGTGCTTCCACCCTGACAGCCCAGAGGACACACAGCTTCGAGACGGGAATTTCCCTGCAGTGATAAATATTTATGAGTAAATCCATAAGTAATGCTCAGTGCAGACCTCCAGCACTCAGCTTCAGTTGGAAGTGGGGGAGCATCCAATTGCTTGGCAGGGTGGAAACTCCCGGGTGTTTTCTAGCTGCAGCTGCAGCCAGCGGCGCAGGGAGAGCAGCGCAGGTACGCTTGGATGGGCAGTGTCTGCCCTGCATGGCCTGCCTGGGGCCAGGGAGCTGCCTGCACCGCTGCCTGTGCAGCCACCTGAGGCTCGTCCAGGGCATCTCCCTCCCGAAAGCAGGAGACCAACGGAGCTACAGGATAGCACAGCCCCACAGTGTCTGTGCTGCCTCACACCCCTATAGATCCCCCTATAGCAGGCTATTATCTCACTCCATGCAGCAGGTTGGGCTTTGTAGGACTGAGCAGAAAATGAGACCCTCACCCAAGCCACAGCACGGCATGCCAGGGCACAGACCCTGGCGCCTGCATGTTAATCGTATCATTTTCTGTCACATTTTATAGGAGGGGGTGATGCCCAGCGCAGCCCAGGGGCAGCCCGGCCGTTTCCCACACGTGACAGTACAGATCAGTGTAACCCCGGGAGAGTGTGCGGCGCTCATGCACGGCAGCAGGCAGCAAGGGGAGAGCCCTCCTGCCAGCCTGCCACATGGCTGCTCCCGCACTCCAGAAACGGGCTCCCACACTGCCCTGATTTATTCTCCCATCGATCCGAGCTGAGCCGCAACGTGCCCGAATTCAGCCGTGCCTGAAGCGTGAAAGGCAGGGTACAGGCAGGGCTGCTGCCAAGACCGAAAGCCATTAGCGTGAGGCGGCCGCTGGCAGCCTGCCTGCTCCTGCCTGCACAGGGCCCTGAGCGTTCTGCCTGCCCGGGAGAGGCGGCAGAAATGCTGGGCACGCCACCGCAGCCCTGCTCCAGCCAGGGAGCGATGAGGTTTCTTAGTCCTTATCTCCCCAGTGCCACGATACCGCAGGATAGCTGCTGCTTCGGCCCCACGGTGCAGCACTGGTAAGCCCTGATGCCGCAGCAGTTGCCCGGGGCTCACACCAGCATGGTGGAGGTGACAATCTGGTGCTGGCGCAGGTGGCACGGGGAAGGCATGGCGGCTGCCCCACCTGCTGAGACTGTACCCCGATTGCATCCGCTGAAGGCAATGCCAAAGCGTAGGATTGTCCTAAGAGGTTAAGGCTGGAGGTGGATGCTCCTTGAGTGTGCCGTGGTCTTCCCTCGTCCTGCAAAGGCAGAACTCGCCTCGCAATCCAGATGTGGACTAACAGCAGCCCCACACTCAATCCATTCATCCCCAGGAGGAACCAGGACCCTCGCTTCTCTGGCTAGAGCCTGCAGAGATGCTGGGCACTCTCTGCTTCCAAAATCAGCTTCCAGATATCCATCTGTTGGCACAATGGCAGGGCAGATCTCTGCTATTAGGGAAACTGAGGCACCAAGCGCCTCGCTCCTGGTGTAAGCAAACAGCCTGGGGATAGCGCCACGGCTACCAGCATCCACACCTGTACCTCCTGCAACAAAGCAAACCTCCTTTCATTCCCTATTCCAGCTCCATCCAAATTTAGGATACGGTCTTGACCTGAGGGTCTGGAAACACCCAGCGTCTCACAGATCCCGCTGTGAACATACACCAAGAAACACCTCAGACGTCCCCAGGCACCCGGCACCAGGGCAAATCCCCCGGCATGGAGCAGTTATCCCCACCTCCTGCACAATACAGCGGCTGATGGCTGCAGAGCAGAAAACTGGTGGCAGAGCACGACTGATTGGATTTACCCCGCCGCCAGTGCCTCCAAGTGCCCACTGACCCCCTTCCCACTCCCCAGGAGCCGATAAGGGGACTCGGGAGGGCCATCAGCAGATATAAAAGTGCTGGAGATTAAAATAAATAGAGAGAAGCAAACAGATGAAAAGGGAGAGAGAATTGTTTGGGGGAGTTATCGAAGGCAGAAAGAAAAACACTTCTCACATTGCTGAAATAGTGCAGGTTTTAAAGGCTGCTGGCAGCGACTGAGGCTCCAGGAGCTGCTGGAGGTGGGACACATCCTGAGGGCATCTTCCTTGGGGGCCTGAGACATCGTATCCAAGACACCGGCCAGGCCACCCCCAGCCCAGATCCAAGGGCAATGCATGTCCCGGCACTATGCTGTGGCTCGTGTGTGGCCCCGCCTCACGGGCCACCGCATCGCCTCCTCTACAGCACTACTTCTAATGTCTACGCAGCCAACACCGGCTCCCACCGATGGCAGCCGGGGTCCGGGCCCTTACCTTTTTGTAGTCAAGTTTTGGCAGCTTTCCCCAGGCGAGAGATGAAATGAGAGCAAGCAGATGGCAATGTAAATAAAAGAGAAAAATGGGAGAATGAGAGCAGAATGGAAATGAACAGGACTCGAACGCTTGAATGTCAGAGCAGCGAACGGGGGTCTGCCCACCCCGCGAGCAGGGGCGATGCCAGCACCGCGTGGTGCCCCCAGCCCTGTGGGACGGGGTCAGTAACCGTTAACTCCCGTACAGCCGGGTGGGCACGGCAGGGACCAGGGCTCTCCTTCGTCAGCCCTGACTTTGCTCTCGCTGCTGTTAGATCTATCTCTTGCAGGTCTCCTTCCTCCCTGTCTTCCACCCACTGCAAACCCAATTAGAAATCTCCTCCTTGGCACCGCTCCCGAGCACACCAAGGGAAACCTGACCCAGAGGCTGCCGGTGAATTCATGGGAGACAGGCATGGGGGTGGCAGGGAGGGAAGCAAAACCCACTGGCTGCCTCATCCCTGCCCCGGCAGCCCTGCCCAGGAAGCCGTGGGTGCTGCTCTTGTCCCCTGGCCAGGAGCAGCTCCAGGTCTGCCAGGGCAGATGCCTCCACGCTCACCCCCAAAGCCAAGCTTTTGTGCTCAAGGTCCTATTTCAGACAGGGAGAGCCCTGGGGCAGGGACGTGCGGGCTCAGCACCCAGCGCAATAGGCTCTGGGGTGGGCTGGGGGCTGCAAATAAACCAGTTGCAGCTGGAGGGGAGAGGAGCATCCTATGAAGGCAAATCTGGGGGGCCAGCTCACAGCTCGTTCTCCTGCAGTTTCTTCCATCTTCTGTAAAAATCCTCCAGCCCTTCCCAAAGTCTAAAGGGACTTAGGTCTTCTTCCACCAACCCACCACTGTCGGGGACCAACCGTGTTGACCTGGAGCCCTCGCTGCTCCAGACCTCAGGCCAGCTGAAACAGACAGGAGCCGAGCAGCGCGCAGAAGCACCTTCCACAGGCCCGGAGGCAGAATCAGGACCTCAGTTATCTGTTTCTGCTCCAAAATGTGAAAAAAAACCCTAATTGCTTCAATCACACAGACGGCAAAGGCGCTGAGGCAGAGCACTTTGTGGCAATGATTAGCAGCATTTAAAAGAGCCATTTATAAACTGACAGCCGGTCACAGCGTCAAGTAAATAACAACATTGGGTTGGGTGCTTCTCTAAAAAGCATCAATAGCTGTAACCATCTCGGCACGGGGATGAGCAGCCGTCTCTGTCCCGCTGGAAATGCCCTGAAAGGCAGGGACAGAGGGAAGGAGAGGGCAGAAGCACTGGGTGTTGGGATGAAACTGGAGATGGCAAAGGGATGGCTGCAGCCGGGGTCATCAGAGCCCCCGGTGCAACCCGGGGACGGGGGCACACCTGGCCGTCCCCACGCGCTGCCCTCACTGCTGCATTTGCTTGGCACAGCCGCAGTGCCCGGGTGGCCTCGTGGTTTTGGCAGGGCTCTGGTGGCCCCATAACGCAGGACAAAGGTGGCCAGCTCTAGGCATATTCGGTCCTCGCTGTTTGCACGCCCGGCGCTGAGACGTACCTTGGCTTTGTTGATCGTGCAGTGGAGAGCGTTGTTTTCTTGATCGTAGAGCAAGCTGAAATCCAGCGTCCCCAGCGTGGCTGCAAAAGAGAAAAGGTGTTATTAACCCGTGGGGCCCAGCATACATTGCCTCTTCTCCCTCTAAGCACTAAAGGAGTGGATGAAGATGCTAGAGAAATGGCTGCAGACATTATAAACCACAGAGCATCCTCCTGTGAGCCCTGTTATGAAACATGGCTTCATGCTGGGAGGCTGGTGGCCATCCCCATGTTTGGCTGGTGGGGCCGGCACAGCCCTGGGAGAGGAGCGAGAGGGATGAACGGCTGCGGCTCACCCAGGCACTGCAGCCAGCGCAGAGGCTTTGCCTCCGTGGGCTTTCACACAGGTCACCCCCTTCTACCAGCAGCCCCACGGCAGCTTCCCGTCCCCCAGGAGCTGAAGGGTCTTCTCCGGGAAGATCCGGGCACGGCTAGGACACAGCTGGGACCTGCTGTCGGCATATCTGCCCCTCTCCAGCGCCGCTGGCACTCCCAGAATGCGTATTTGTATACTGACACCTTCAAACAAATGAGCCACCAATGGGATCCCTTCCCAGCTCCAATTTGGCTGCAAACTGTAAATTAAACCCAGTGAGAATGGAAATACTTTTATGGTTAAAATGAAAAACACCAACAGCTTTTAATCAGAGCAGTGTTCCCTTGCGGCATCTGCAATCCAGGAACAGCAGCAACAGGGAAGCTCCTGAGACAGGACCACAGGGAAGGGGCAGGAGACCAGAACAAACCAGAAGAGCCTCAGCAGCAAAAGTACATTCAATTTGAGAAATTCTTTCCCTTTGAACAATCTGAGCACATCATGCTAATCTAAAGCAGAGGAAAAGCCTTAAAAAGACAGGCTTTCCTAAAACATGATTTAACCTTCTCCAAGGCTCCTGGACTCAATTTGCACACCAAAGCCCAAACGTGGAGCAGCACCTCCTCCAGCACAGCTTCGCCTACCACCAGCCTTGAACTTCCAGGGCGGCTCTGGACCTCGCAACCTGCACTTTTTCATGCCCACCTTCCCTAAAAGGGGTCTGCCCGAGCACTGCCCTGCTGCCACGCAGCATCCCACCGCTGTTTCCAAGGTAACTGCACCTTCCCACTGTGCACGCAGGTTCAGAGCAGGGGGGGGAAAATCCCAAATAAAAACCACAACAATTTTGCTTAATATCAAAACAGGGTTTGCTGCCTGGGAGGTAAGTTAGATGAACTTTATGGCAGGAAATAAGGTGCTTTTTTCCAGTGTAAATAGCCTCTGCAGCAAGGTGCCCCGGGAGGCGGCAGATATTCAGGGGACTGAAACCTTCCTGCTGCAATTTCACAGCAATCTTCCAGCCCAAACGCAAGTGAGCTACAGGTTTGCCTGCTAGCAAATAAAAATCATTGCTCCAGAGCAAACATCTTGCCTTCAAAGCAGAGCAAATATTCAGAGAGATTTCTGCCAGAATAATGTACTCCCCCTTGTTCTGGAGTAATTTCATGGCACATTAGCTATTGGTTTAGGTAAGTCATAAATCAGTGGGGTTTACCTGCCAGGGCTCAGGGAAGATGGAAGTGATACAGGGTGAGGCCAAACCTGCAACACCTTGTACGTCATCTCTGGGTTTGGCCCAAACGGGCGTTTCCAGAGCAATTACCAGCAAAACTCGCTCCACATCATGCAAGGAGGAGGAAAGCGCAGCAGTGCCCCAGTGGGCTGGCTGCCCCCGGCCCCTGCTCGGCGACAGGGAGCTCACGGCCGCGTACGGCCGTGTCAGAGCAGCAGCCCCGGGGCATCGGCGCAGACCGCCGTGCTGGGGCGGGTGTAGCGGGAGGCTCCACAGCACACGGGCGAAAGGCAAGTCAGCAAAACTTGACAAATCTGCGTTTTTGTTCGAGAGCGGAAGATGAAGCCTCCAGTTTCGGAACCTCATCATTTCCACCTGCCCTTTAATCAGCTGCTTCCTGCCCCCCCCGCCGCTCGGCCCTCCCAAGTTCAAGCTGTTATTTTATTTTTATCACAGAAGGGGGCCCGCGGCTTAGCCTGCTGGCTTTGGCAATTTATAAAACAAATTAAAAGCTTGGCGTGAAAACAGACTTCAGCCAGGAAATACTGACAAAGCCTCCTGTCCCCTCGGCGCTGCAACCTGCCCCAGGGGCGAGGGCAGCGGGGAGCCCGCTCCGGCAGGCTGGGCAAAACCCAAAAGCACCGTCACACAGCAGCAGATGCTTGTTTCGCATCTGGGGACTAAGGTCCTGCTCCCCAGCACTGGCGGTCCGTGAGCAAACCTTGAGCAGTTCCCATTCATCTCGGAACTGCAAGGAGGCGGGAGGGCACGGACAGGGATGCGTGGCTCCCCCCAGCCCTGCCAGGCTCTGTCCCCAGCTCTCCTCCAGCCCTGGAGGGGTTTTCCTCTCTGCAGGAATTTTTTTCATTGATGGTGAGTCTCGATTCCCAAGGAAGGGTCTGCCTTCGGCAGAGGGATGTGGAAACATCAGCAGAACATGTTGTGCTAATTGCTTAAAAACACAGCCGTATGGAGATGACAAAAGGGATCAGGCTAACTTGGGGTTTGGCAGCTAAGGTGCCACTACGGAGCCGAGGGCGAGCGCTGCTGCCAGAGCCAGGACCCAGCAGGGCAGCGGATGCTGAGGACACGTCTCCCGCAGGAGCAGAGTGCCTGCGGCGCGGTCGCAGCCACACTGTCTCCGTTATCTCCTGGGGATGCACTGCTGGGTGACGGATCCAGCACAGCGGTGAAGGCAGAGACAAGGCTGGCGCTCAAACTGCCTGCCTCCCCGGCCGGCTGCTCCCAGGCAGACTGGCCTCAGGGTTGCTCCAGCGCCTGAGGAGATGGCAGGAGACTTCCAGCTGAATCCAGGGGTGGGAGCCACCCTGCAGCCCACAACAGCTCCGTGCGAACCCCCATGGGACTGCAGCCCAGCTGGAGAGCCAGCCCTGCGCTCCCGGAGCGGGTAGCATGCCGAGTGAGCGGTCAGGCACGCCAACACCAAAACACCGGCACGGGTCTTACTGCTCTCACCCCTCCTGCAAAACCGCCAGCACCACATCCAACCCTGGCTGTGGGAGACTTGCCCTCTCCAGCCAGCAGGATTGGGCCCAAAGCCTCTGGGCTGCAGCAGCCACCCAGGGACGCACCCTGCTCTGAACAGGGCCCTCCGCAAAGCGGCTGAATCGCCCTTCTTTGATGACTTTCCTCCTCCCACCCATCCTCGCAGCTGAGATGCAGCTCGATTGTGCTCTTAATTAGGGGAGCGAGTGCCTAAAAAAGAAAAGGGCAGCAATTAGACTCGAAGCGCTGTTACTAGATGTATTTAACTCGACTGGGCTATTCCGAATGCTGCCCTCTAATCACACAGGCTGCAAATAAAAAAATATAAATAAATGTCTTTGTCAGGCATTACAAAGGCAGCTTTCCGCTCTCCAGACAGCGGGCAGGATGTATCATTATTATTATGATTATTCTGCTCCAATGACAAAATAACCATTAGGAGAGCTGAACTCATTAGCAGGTTCTGACCCTCTTTCCCCTCCATGAATTGGGAGAGATTGATGGGAAGGTGCCGGCCAGGGTCTGGCATTTAACACAGGCTCTAAAAAGGAAAATAAATCTGACTTGCACAGGAATGCGGCCTCTTCTCCCACTGACCTTTGGTCATTTTGATTAATTCAGTGGGACACAAAATTATTAGAGGCCAGCATAACCGGCAGATGCGTCTCCGGGCTTAGCCGTGGGATATGGCGAGCGCGCCTGGAGCCCGCGGGCAGCGCGGCGCCCTGGCACAGTGCCGCTCCCGCCCTTGTTGGTGGAGTCGGCAGAAATTGTTTATTTCTGACATTTCCCATCAGTGCCCAGGGTGACGGGGAGGCTGAAGTAGCTTCTATTTATACCTGCGGGATGAAAGGCAAAACGTGGTGATAAATCTGTGCTCTGCTCCCTTATCCAGCTCCTGTCCTTGCAGGCTATGTGCCCTCGCCTGGCTCATGCAGGGCAGCAGATCTGCCCCCTCGGTGGCCTGGGACACCCCAAGGAGAAGAGCTGCTCAGCCCAAGAGATGCTCAAGACGCAGAAGAGGCACCGACACTTGCAGCACGGACCCACAAGCTTCAGCACAGCCCGCAGTGGAGGGAACCGACGACTGAGTGGGCTCTTTACCTTTCAAAGTCAGGGAAGCTTTCACATCGCGACTGCCATTAGAAAGCCCGGCAAGGCTCTACGCTGGGAGAAACTGAGGTGTGCACAAAAAAACCACTATAGAACTAATTAAAAAGAAGTCCAAAAGCCTTAAGTCCCTCTGCTTATCAACATTGCTGCTCCCAAGATAACCTGCTCATGGATTTTGTGCCAGGGAGATCAGAGTGGAGCAGTAAAAAGACTGCTGGGGATTGTCTGGATTAGCTCTCCCTTACAGAAAGCACAGGTTCAGTAACCTTCAGACTGGGTATTTTTTAATGCACTATAAAAGATAGGTCCCTATTCTTCCATTGCTTTAATTTTCCTCTGCGATGGAGATAATTTTAAAGGTCCTGAAAGGCAGCAAGTAATTCTGTGCGCATACAGCCCCATGTAAAATGTCCGTAAATGACTCCTCAGGAGGAACAGAAATTGTTTCTTGCCATTTCCAAGCAGGGCCACTGAAGATCGCTTTGGCGGGCGGCTGCATGCGCTCCTGCCTCCCCGGGTGCGGCAGTGCCTCGTCCTGGCCCAGCGGCACATGGCAGGGCAGTGCGGGCAGTGAGCGCTGGGGCAGCTCGAGGACCGACTCCCTGCCCCACGTGGGAGCAAGCCCCTTAAAGCCCCCAGGGTTACCCCTGGAAAACAGTTCCGTCAGTCCCAGCAGCCTCCTGCAGCCAGGGCTGAGCTTGCTCAGCACCCACAGCGCTCCCAGTCCATGCACAGACCCTCTTGGGCTGCTGCTTGCGACTCGTGTGCCTCCGCAGGGAGAGGGTGCGTGGCTTGTCAGGGATGGATCCCACAAGGTGCTGAGTTGAGGTGCTGCAGACCCCGACGGCTGCAAGCCCCCAGGTCTGATGGTAG